CCCCAAAACCCCAAAACCCCAAAACCCCAAAACCCCGCCCTAAATTCCTTTGTTTCAATATTCTGCAATAATATTATTTTGACACTGCTAAAAATGTCAGTTCATACATATCAATGCACTACAAAAGAGTGAGACATTGAGGCAAAACACTACTGCATCTGTCACCAGCAACTTGTGTGTAGCCGGTGCAATGCCAATAGGCATTATGCATGTGAACTTGTCAGGGTATGACAGGCTGAAGATTTGGAAGATATGACTAAGTTACTCCATGATTTTGTGGATGGGCTCAAGAACAAAGCTGCTCAGTATGATTTGGTCGAGAATATACAAGGACTTGAACAAGCATTTCAGGATGTCAATGGTGTTGTAAAAATGTTCCAAGCTAATGTTGCTCAATGCTTTGAAAAAGATAAGCATGAAGATTTCTCAATGCTTGTGTTCCAAGGCAAACAGATATTGTCAGACATCTTTGAAGGAACTATCTTTGGTAACACAACAAAGTCAAATCCGATTCTGAGACTTCTGTTTGACAGCCAAGTACTGGACACTCAGAATGGAAACTTTGTTCCACCAATGAGAGACATCAATATCCTTGTCAACCAGAGATCGAAGGCTTTGGTGAGTGAATTCGCTAGAAGGAACAAGAAAATGTATGAGGACAAGCTAAAAGCTCAAAAATAAGATCATAGCAATGCAAAAAGCTTCAGAGCTTCGTTCCCAAATAGATAAATTAAAGCTTGAAATCAAGCAAAATAAATTTGAGACAGACCATATAATAAACAAACACAGGCTCACAATTGCAGCGATAGATGAGAAAAACAGGGACAATTCTTCTATAGAACAAAGAGAATGCATCCCACTGAGATCTGTTACTCTTATAGGACTACGTAATGTAGGGAAAACCTGAATGGGTTCTCGCCTTTGCGGACATGAATTCGACCCCTGAACTAATGCTACGACTGGAACCGGGTCTTCACAATGCTGCACAATATTCTGAGGAAGACAGGTGAAATTTCATGTTTTCGACACAGTTAGATTCTCAATGGAGTATGAAAGACTTCCTATAGATTCATTAACCCGAAATAATTGCCTCTTATTAGTCTATGATATCACAGATGAGAGCTCTCTGAAAGTATGTCAAGATTTCATAGATCATGGAAAAGAAACAGGTAATATAGTTTATTTTTTAGTTACCATTGGCTTATCATCACACTATAATTTATCAGTATTCGAGTCATCCATGCCAAGCATTCTTTAGCATGAATGCAAAGTATCTGTCTATTCTGGACATTCTTTATGAAATAAGACAAGAAAGCATAAGCTAATTAAACAGGTCGGATTTAAGATATATTCTGCATTAGAATAGCTAGTAAATGTGGTCCATTCATAGACTCTGAAAGATGCATTGCCACTATTTGCACAGCTCTGATTTCAAATTTTGAGTTCATTAATCAATCAAACTATAGATAAGCTTAAAGATAGCATAATATACTTGGTCGGCAACAAGGCTGACCTCGAAGAGTATAGATGTGTCAGCCAAGATTCAATTATTGAGTTCAAAGCCAAGAACAACATAGACTTCCACTTCTTAATCTCTTGTAAGACTGGAGAGGGTATTGAGCAACTAAGAGAACAAATAATAGGAAGTATTCTCGAACTGCAGCTCTTGGTGTTACAAAAAGATTCATCAAAGAAACAAAGCAGGAAAGAGAATGAAAAGAACAAGAGGAGACGCCCTGCAATGAAAAAGAAGGTTTTTGGGTTATTTTAATATATCTTGATATCTTCAATAAAGCACCTCTCTTTAGGGGTTTTGGGGTTTTGGGGTTTTGGGGTTTTGGGGTTTTGGGGTTTTGGGGTTTTGGGG